CTAAACATGTAAATAAATATTTGGACCTAGGACTCTCTCTCTATAGGAAAATGCAGCATGTATATCAATGGCTTCTCACGGGGATATAAATAGAACAATGATAACCGCATCCCATACTTGAAAATTGAGTAACGAGCACTGCACGCATGCGTTGATCAGCTGACGTGGAAGGATGGGCGATATCAGACCCTCAAGGCCCAGAGGTGCTCATTCATGATGCATGTGAAGGAGTGGATTTCGAATCACTGCCTGGCTCGGCTTATGTCAGTCATTCACTATCACTCATCAGGGATATTCATTGAACGTCCATTAACATATAAGAAATTAATATTCACTGACACCATTGTCTATTATATTATGCATGGCCAATGAGCTATAGTATGGAGCATAAATGGGGTGGAGCGGTGGACTGAGCAATGAATGCAATGAACGTGAGGACCTGAGATCAATTCTTAGCAACGGCTCTATCTGAGCTGATCCCGGGACCAGCTGAACACCTGGTAAAGCATGGTCAAATGTTGTTGAGCAGGCAAAGCATTAACAAGCCTCCATTCAGGTCATTGTGGACGGATCACCAAGTTCAACCTTCACTGGTCAATATGGAAAATTCCACATTCTCTTCTCATGGCAGAGACAAGGTTCTGTACAGGATGGCCACCGTTGACATCTCACGTATCTGATACCGAATTCATCAACCTTGGAGGGATAATGGGCTCTGACCCCCCTCCTCCAGCGAACCCTGCCCCCAATTCCAATTATGAGTCAAGCGCTCTGTCATGATGCCTGCTGGAGCAGGTGATCGTACAGCTTTAAGTGGTACTCATCCACGTGTAAAGTATTAAAAAATACACGAGGATAATTTAATCTGCACCTTTCCATCCGAAAAGCATCGGAGTTTTGACGCCGAGCAGGACCAATAACTAATAATGGCCTAAAGAAACGCCCAAGAGATGTGGACCTTTTTGGAGGCTCTTATAATAATAATAGCTCAAATAAATTGGATGATGGCAATGCTGGTTGACATCTCGAAGCAACGTGCCACGCCACACCCCACAGGGGGGCAATTGTTTTGATATGGTGCTGCCCTGACCCGCTTGACGGGCGATCGGTCGATGACCATTTATATAAAAAGGGGACCGACGGAATCGAGGTGTGATCTTGATTATGTTACACCTTGCAAATAAAACGATTGGCAGCGCATAAACATCATCAATCTTCTCCCATAGGTTATACGGCATCGATTAGGCGGCGCAAGCACGCTCCGCCGTCCCGTTTCACGATATAAATAGCTAAGGTCTAGTAAAGTGTCAATTTTCCATGAGGACAAAAAAATAAGTCTCTTTGAGTTAGGCAGCAAAGGGGGCCTTTAACTCCACGCTTGACTGTGAAATTAAAGAGCACATCTTCCGCGCACACTGTGGCTGCCATTAACTCGAATAATAACGCAATTAGCAACTGCGAGACGCCAAGGTATAATACAGTAAACGGCTTTGCTTAATTAGTATCGACAGGACTTCTCAAATACTGACGTGCAATCAACTGGGGAAGCGAGGTGTGAATCCATTTGCGTGACCGATGCACATTCTAACTTTTTTTTCCCCCCTTTGGATTTTTCATTTTACCCGGGCCTTACCTGGTAAAAAAAGAAGGTTTTTTTTCGTTGTATTGTTTCATTTAATGAGTAACGAGTGTTCTCAGTTGGCGAATTTGCAACAAAAAATACACCGACGCTGTTATACAAAGGTGCGCGACGTCCCTTGCCGATACTGAGTAGCAACATGTTTGATGGCACCACCGGCGTTAATCTGTGACAAAAGGCTCAGACGCGGTTGTGGGCTCAATTGTCACACGTGCAATATTTTGTCAAACGTGGCATATAATTAACTCACGCACGCTCAGATGAAACTCAGTGTGGACCGGCTCCTCTGAGAGTCTGAATGCCGAGAGTCTTAACACGAGTCCCCCCTCGCTAACCTAATGAGCAAAAGGTATTCGTGGAATGGCAATGGCATTGCTCCGAGCTAACAGAGAAAGCTAGGCAGGCTTGGCAATACAACAAGAACAAATTCACACATCAGGATGAGAAATTGAGGTCATATAACTACGAAAGATTTCAATGCGGACGGGTTTTACAATTGCATTGCCTTCTGCGAGGCATGCACGCAAACACCTCCTCCACTGCAACCCTCTAAGACATTACACACAGCTCTATTGCCTGTTGGTTGCACACAGGCGAATTGTACATAAAACAATCAAAATGAATACGTGAATTTGAGATGGAGGACAGTTAATCACTCACCTATTCGTGCGCGCGCTATGATAACAGTTTTGTATGATGCGTTTTAATTGTTTTACTGCATCATTATTTTTACTATTATTAGTATTAATGATGTGTTGTTAAACTTGAACCTAATAGGGGAACTCCAATGTCTCGACTGCAGTGCGCGGCATTGTAATATAGCACTGTACTTCGTGTATATTTAGTGCCTAAGAACAAATGACCCAAGATGTACCGGACCTCAACGGATCTCCGTATCTGAGCCGAGTTCAGCCCAGTTCGTGCTATGATGGGTGACCGCCAGTGCTTCTGTTTGAGACTCGGGGCTGCGTTGTGATCAGGCGTTGGCAATGCACCTCCGATTAGCGCGGTTGGCAACGTACGGTGAGAAAGAAATCCAACGTACATACATGCTCAGTGTCGCTCCTTCGTATTTGTGGGGGTTTTCTCCAGCTACTCAGTTTTTCTCTCAGAAGTCAACCACTCATTCATGGAATTGGCCAAACATCCCAAAACAGGTTTCCTCCCTGAATAGAGCCTTGAGAGTCAGTGAATATTTCTTGGAACAATAATTGTAATCATGAAATAATTACCATCGATAGTGGTAACTGGCATCGCAATTCCACGTGCATGGGATTTATGCCGATGCAATGATGTGCGTGCGCATTCGCTCTGGCTTACGGTGCAGTGAGTGAGCCTACACGGTACAACGCATGCACCTAACTGCCGGCGTTACAAATGCATCGCGAGTGCGGAAACGCACGCATACACTCGTAATGAATCACCACAAGCACCGTTCAGCTGTAGCCAATGAGCCCGGCGTGTCTCGTACGTGCAAAATACAACAACACCGTGAGCAATTGCGTCCGTGCGGTCGACTGCCCCGAGAAGCGTTTTGCCGTCTTTAGGCAGTTGAGCACGTCCGGTTGTGTTTCCACCACCGTGCTATCGGGGGCCGCCTCCTTAAGATCGGGGAGCGTGGGGATGAATTTGGGGCTCAGCGCACATTCCTTAGACCTATCTCTAGGCTACCCGGCCCCGCTCAGCGCACAATGAGCAGCCTTTTTTCCCCTCTCCCATCCTTGAAATTAGCGCAAAAACACCCACTCGCTCCTTCTCTCTCACTCTCTCGTCCGCGCAAGCTTTGGAACCAGTCTCGAAATCCCAGCGCCGAGCAAACATTTTTTTGTGGTGAGAACATGTAATATAAACGTGGTCTCTTGTTGCGATGGTGGTACACGATTGTGAAAGGGATCTGAGAGCTCTACGCTGTTATGGAATAGAAACGTAGCAATGGGGCAAACCAATACAAAAACTGGATGTGAATTAGACACCAGCGTTTAAGAGACTGCTAGCGGTGGCATGCAGACTCAACTAAAACACGGGCGAGCATTCATCAGTAGCTGTGCCCCATAGCGAAAAACGCACACAAGCAGACTGACGTTATGCAAAACAACCCCTTCAAAAGCAGCGCGCAAGTTTTCATTTTTATTTGGTCCAATTGCTCAAATTATAATCACCGTAATTTGTTTTCCATCTCGCACAATACATTTACGGATGTCAGGCTAGAGATGTCACAACCGTGACTGTTCAGCGAATGGCTATGTTCGCACCTCCGACGAGGACGTTTGGCTACGTACGGTGCGTGCAAGAAGTTCAACGTGCACGCGTACGTTCGGGTCTGCATTGTGAGTCATGCATGACCCGTGCGCTTGCATGCGCGTGTCTGTGATTGTGTGCTCCGCGCATTCCCTCGCCGCTACCGGCACTTGCTCATTGCCCCCCCCCTCTCTCCACCCCGTGTGTAACAAGGCTCGCCATTATCTCTCTCTCTGCGTTGTGTACATGCCCCCATGCGAGCGGCGATCTTCCATCGGGCTCAAATCGGAGAACGAAGAGCCGATAGAACGATGCGAAGACGAAAAAAAAAGTGGGCAATTAAAGCTAAGAAGGGACTAAGGAGCGATGGAGAGAGGTCATTGTGTGAAAGCGACGTTCGAGAATTAGGATTCAAAGCAGCGCGCTGAATCGCATCGCATGTGACGATGCCGCACACTAAACTATGCGCAGAGCGAACAGCAGAGGGTGTTTTGGGATTGGCAAGGCGAGATATTGGGAGACGTTTAACGCAGCGGTCGGGCTGGACTCGCACTTGGGCTCCAAATGAACAAGACCCTCGCAGAGGGCACGTTATATCCACGTACGTTATCTCCACGCACGTTATCTCCACGCACACGTTATCTCCGCACACGTTATCCCCAATTGTGAAGACAAGGTGCATACACTCCGCACGCACGCGCGCACGTATGCCGAACTGACTTTGCGCATAGGAAACATAACATTGGAGTGGAGGAAGACCCGGTGCTTCGAGCGGCATCAACACGAGGATATTATAGCGCCGAGATGAATTAACCGAGACAACAACAACAACAAAAAAATCGGCAACAATCAACGAAACAAACCACGACCCCCCCCTCCCACACACACACACAGAGACGGATAGGCTACTCTGTCGCGAGAAAAGCGTGAGAAAGTCGCGTTGAGTAGCAACAATGATGTGGCGAGGCGGGATCGCGAGCGCTTCCAAAATGACACAATCGTGCGCAAAAAAAAAAAAACCCGGCGCAAGTGAATGTCACGGCGCATTGCGTGGCCGTGCGATCGTCATCTCCGTCGCGCACAGAACGCGCCGACAACGCACGCGCTCTCGCGCTCGACTTACCGACGAATTACAGCCAGTTTTGTCTTCTTCCGTCGCTCCTCGGTCGCAAGATTTTAATCCAATAAAACAAACCCTCCCAACTAAATTGTAGAGCAGCGCGCCAGGGCGCATGTAGTAGGTGCGGACATCGCGCTGGCGTGCCTCTCGCCCATCAAGTTTCTCACTCTCTGATCGTCCTCCTATTCACGAAGCTGCTTGTTGTTGCTGTTGTTGTTATTGCTGCTGCTGCTACAAGTATCCTTCCTCGCTACTGCGGGAAGTCCGAAACGAGCCTCTCCTCTGAGCTACTCGACGCGAATGCTGCGGAGATTGAGCGCGAAAGCCCCGACCCGAAGAAGCAGACGCTCACGAGGAGGAGGAGGAGGACGAGGAGGTGGTGGATGTGTTGACGATGGCTTTGAGAGAGGAGGCGATGAGCGGAGACGCGGAATCCATGCGCAGCACAGCGAGACGCCCCTCTGTCTTGCATCGCAACACTCTCGCTTTACATCCAGCGGCTGTGCAGCGCATTGCAACCTTCTCTCATCATCAGCAGCAGCAGCAGCTCCACCATCATATCATCATCATCCAGAGGACGCCACGCATCTTCTTTTACGCACACGAGTCCCCCACTCTCGTGCGATATTGGGTTGACACGCGGCTCACTCAATGGAGAATGAAACACATTGCACTGCTGGCTAGGGGCGAGCAACCCTACACGCACGCAGACACAGCACACGACACTTTGGCAGGTGCACGTCTCGAATGGAATGCGCGCCTCCTAATGTTTCGCCGGTCATGACAAGTCTGGCCGTCCTGAAAGAAGAAAGAAGCAATAGAATCTGATGGGAAAACGTAAATGTCACTGCGTTAATCGAGGGATTGGGCAAAGTAGCTCTGCGATTCGAACGGGGCTCGCGTCTCTTCTGATCGCCTCCTTTCGGCTCCAAGCGTTTCCAATGCGTCTCCCGGGGCGAGCGAAAGAGCGAGTCAGCTAAAGGCACGGAGAGAGAGAAGAAGAGAGAGAGGGGGGGGGGGAGATTACGATAGACCAAACCGGGGTTGTGCGCAAAACGCGGAGAGAGCGGAGCTCGGATTCAGGAGTGTCGGGTATTTATTGTACTGGCTGCTTGAGATGTTCTCACTGATAAAGCCGCGAATGTATAGACAACACCATCGCGAACACGTAGTATATAATTGCGCATGCAGTATATACTGCAGTATATGTACAGTGATAATACTACGACGAAGAATGCTGAAATAGTATGGTCTCTATCTATGTATGTTGACGCGGCCAACACGAAATGAGTCTTTTCGTACGCACGGTGCAATTATTATTTATTCATGGGAATGCTCGACTCGCAGATTGGGTTAGCGTTCAATACCGGACCGTGCTCGTACTAAAGCCATCATTGTTCTAGGTACATGCAACCCAGTCCCGTTTTATAGGATGTTAACGGTGGCTGTCATATAGGCGGACCGGCACCCGTCACGGGAATGTGGAATTTCCAGTTCTGGCTCGAGGGACGCCAAGCGGAGGACGAGTGCCGCTCTCTTTTCGCATGAAGAGACACTGACGTTCAGACCAATGCTGCTACATGCATGTTATGAGCATGTGCAACGTGTAACTTACAAAGACAAAGACCTCACAACGTATAGCCTCAAAAACAGACTTGTGGGGTAAGTGCTGTCAGCGAACTAGGGCGGCTCACGAGGGCGTGGGTGGCCAGTGGCGATGTTTACACACCGCAAGCAGTTACTCGTTTGAGGCTGAGTCGACCTAGGGGAGACCCAGGACCGGTTCAGACAATTGCCACTGTTGATGATCGTCAGCGGGAATTGAACTCGGGTGGCCGGGTCGCGTAGCGGGGCGCGCTAACCGCTGCGCCACCGCTCCCCACCTACGCGCGCACCAACTATAGGCTGCACGCGTGGTGATGGATTCAAGAAACCCTCCTGCAGTACTCACTGGGAATTTTCCAGGCTGCGCGTTTCATCTTCTAAGATTTTGGAGGGAACACTTTGCAGGTGCGTTCCTTTTAACGCCCGTTCTACGTTAAAGGCGAACAGGGAGCATTAATTGCACGCGCGTATATATATAAAAAAATATCTGCTAATTAAGAATGCGCGGCTGGTATTTGGGAAGGTAAACCGTGTCTGTGGAGAGGGGAGTGGTGGCGCAGTGGTTAGCGCGCTGCGTTACGTGAACACACACACACTCTGGGTTTGACCCCCAGCCGCTGCTAACATCAGATGAACGGGTCCTGAACCCTACTTCACCAACACGTACTACCGACCATCACGATGAAGTATGTTCAGACGACCTCCTTTGACCAACATGGTGCGGGGAAGGCCTTCACCCAGCAGTGGGTTAACCATTGCTGATTATGATGCTGTCCCAGGTTTTTTTAAAGAGAAGATTGACGATTGGACATACTGCGTGCGCGCTTTCAGATATTTGATAGCATTCATCCATAGTGAGAAATCGTACATAGTAATACAGTTGTAACTGCACGTAACTTACCCTTCGTGTCTCGAAACATTCACAACCCTAACCGATTACGGACGATGCCCACAGACTGACCAGCGGTGTTATAATGGTCGGCAAACTGGACCTGTAATCCAGATGTCGCCGGTTCGATCTGCCTCTCTCCATCCAGCAGTGCAGAATGGGTGCTACGGGAGTCGATCGGTCGGCCACGTGTGGTGGGGTAAAGTGTGGGTACCCCCCCCCCTCCCCCCCACATCTATTTCAAGACATCTGACCAGCGTGGAAGAGTAGGCCAAATACCCTTTAGAAGGCCCGAGGCTGCAGGTTGTCCTTTACCTGTGAAGATATAGCCGATGACCACAGCACCCCGGAATGCCTGAACGTTGTTTGGACACCCACCATGCACAAGAGAGTAGTGCAGAAGGCGTCACGGGCAGTAGAGGGCAGTGCAGCAAGTTCCATTGTTCTCTCCACTCCTCCCACCTTCGGCACGCACTGGTTAGCGTGGTTCATGAAGTCGGGTCCAAACATCCTGCGCGGCCCTCAAGCCATGGGAAGAAGCCTTCAACCAGCAGTGTATCGACAAAAAAAGGAGACGACACTCGTGCATTCTAGAAAATAGCCTGTCATATGTAACATTACAGTTTTTACATCATTTTGAACTTTTTTTACAGCACACGTTGTGAAAATGTTATAATCAGTAGCAAGGCCGTAATTATAATATATATTGGGGGGGGGACATTTTAATATTGGGGGGGGGTGTGTCCCCCCCCCCCCAATATTAAAACATGCTCAAAATGTCCCCCCCCCCCCATATATTGCTGTAAAATAGATTTATGTTGATATGATTGTGGTTATTGTTGTACTTTATTAATCCCTCATCTCTGCCATTACAAACAACGAAACAAGATAAGGTGAAAAATAAAAAAACAGAGAAATGTAATACAATACACTATTAGACATTATTGTAAAAAAAGTCCATCCTGTGTGTTAGTGAATTTTAAACATATTTTAGGCAGGAAATGGCAGGAAATTAGTTTTCAAATTTAGATTGTTTTTCTGGGAGGGGGGGGACCCCCACACCCCCTGGAAGATTTGATCCCCCCCAATGTTGACTCCATGGCTACGGCCTTGATCAGTAGAAGAGTGGGCCAAAGTAACCCCTCCACCCCCGTGAGGTTCGATGGAGCTGCCTTTAAGAGGCCCTCCTTCCAGCAGTGACGTGGGCAAAGCCATTGCAGACTGGCACCGTTGCCAGACAACGTTCTGCATCGTATGACCCACCCTGACCCCTGGGGCTTTCGAAACAAGGTGTGGAGTTTATCGCACTGCGCATGTTTTTATTCATTCGGTATGCACGTTTTTTCCCCCTCTCCAGCTACATTAGTTTTCCGGCATGATAGAAAAAAAAACACATTCATGTAAATAGGATAAATAAAGGGTATTATTATAATTCCGATTCGTTTGTATGCAAATTTAATAACGGTCGAGCACGATGGATGGAAATTGCAAATATATACGCCGCCAATGGCATTTACAAGCAACAATGTAAACGTCAGGCTTATGCAACATTACAATGGTTGGCCCATAAGTCAAGCTCCAGTCACCTGGTGACACCCCTTAGACACGAAATTAGCATGATACGTGCGCATGCCTCTTTGCCGATTAACGCATCCATTGCAACCGTTACGTCACAAAAGGATCCGTTCTCAACTCCTTGTTGCCTGTTGCCTGTAGCGTGTCGAAAACACCAACGCAGAGCCTTTGTAGACCATAGGGCGAGTGCTGTCTAATTTAAGCCCTGCGTGGGTACATGCTGGGGGGGAGGGAGGGGGGGTGCGGACAGCAGCCGTTGTCTCTCCAGTGTTGTTGATGTTTACCTGCTGCACAAGGCATTTTTTGAAAGTTTGTCAACCCAGGGCAGTGGGGGGGGGTACCCAAAGTGACAAGAACAGCGGATATGCGTATGGACAACAACACGACGGAGTCCTTGAAGAGCCGCACTTTGGCAACACATTGCCCCATGGGAAGCTCGGGCCTGGTTTAGTTATCACTCGCTCGCGATGTTAGTCTTTCTAAAGGCATTTCAACCCGCTCTTGCCCACCACCTCTCTCATATCATAACTCTGATCCCGATGCGGCTTTAAGAACGGCCCTGAGAACGCGAATTATCCCGTGTTTTACAGCCAAGTCTCTCGATCAGATATCTTCAACTATTGAGTGAATTTGTTGCGAGCAAAGTACCGCTGGTTTTTTTTTTGCGCATATGTACAAGTTATGAACGTCGTATTGTGACTGTTCAGAAAAGTGAGTTGACTTGGGCAGGAAGACGTCGCTGGAAGTCACGACGGCCGGTGGTCGAGACTACCGATGGAGTTGCAGCCAAAGGCGGGGAAAACCCCGGCCGACATGACATCAACTGTGGAGAAGGTGCAATTAAATCAGCTCGTATGCAGGTGCCAGCTATATTGTTACATTGACATATGTTGACAACTTGAGGAGGCCTTTATTGATCAGTAGATTGATCATGGCTGATGGTGATGATGACCGTTGATAGTCGTGTCCAGGAATCAAACTCAAGTGGCTGCGTTCAGAGTAGTAGTGCATAAACCGCTGCGTCACCGCATCCACCTTATGCAACACAAAGACACACGCACACACGTGAGGCTGCACTGGCACTTTGGCAGTAGTGTAAGTGAACCATGGGGCATCGAAGACTGCAGGAATACAGCTGCCATGAGCATTGATTTCATGTGAGATTGGAGGCTGTTGGCTTATGTAGGTGTATAAATATCAATCTACTTGACATGAGCAGCAAGTGGCAGAACAACGTGAATAATCACGTAGGCAAACTCATTACCTGAATTAAAAATCTCGCTGGCTCAAGTTTTGACATTTGATGTATGTAAAAAAAAGTTCAGCATTTGTTAAAAGGGACGTTAATCAAGCTACTTTGAAAAAGTCTACTCTAGCAGTAGCGTATAACCTTGTTTAAGGGGGAGGGCATGCACACACGCTGGGGGGAGGGGGGGGGGGCGACGCAGTCAACGTTGAATTAACTTTAAAGCAAATGTTATACGATTAACAAAACATGTAAGTTTTTAGTTAAAGCTGTCGTGACTGCAGGGATTCATATTCTTGATTCTTTCGGTAAAGTCACGTAGAAGGGAAACAATAAAATAATTAAAAAAATATATAAAACAATAAAATTATCACGACGTTTCGACTGCGACACAAGCAATCATCATCAGGTGTGAAAACCACAGCAAGAAAATCTGAAAAAAGTGACTTTTTTCAAATTTTCTTGCTGTGGTTTTATTGTTTTATATTTGTATTATTGTATTGTTTCCCTTCTACGTGACTTTACCGAAAGAACCAAGAACGGGTAAGGTTGTGCTCGATTTTTCTCCATCACGTATTCTGCTCTGGCTCTCACCCTCTACGTCTATGGGACATGGCTCTGATGTGATACACGCAGCTGAATGTGGATACTTAGTTTGCACTTTGTCGGTACCCTCCGACTATTGTTGCAGACAGTTTTATAT